AAAATGTTAGTCTGAATGCTTGTGCTTTGTTGAGAAAAAGTGATTTTATTGTCTGCATACAATGCTTATATACAGTACTTGCATAGAGGGTGTGTGATGGCCAGCGTTAAATTTTGCAAATTAGATATTGCCAAGGGCAGTCGAGTGGGGGTATATAAAGACTGGAGCAAGCAAACACAACATTAGATGGCAAAGATGAAGATCAAGAAATAGGTATTAGTTTCAGCAGAAGTATATATATATATATATATATTGGAATAGTTAAATTACACTTAGAAATACACATATATTCACAAATAAAAGTGAATACTACAGTACTTACTTTCTGGCGTGACAAACTGTTGTATAACTTCAACTTTGGGATGGGAGTCCCAGTAGGTGGGGACCATGGTGGTTGAGAACGCTTTGCTCCCCTACTTGAAACTTTAATATATAAAAAAAATCACTTAAGTATTTCAAACTAAGAAATGATATAAAAATTAAAGAAATTTAAATTTTTCTGAAGTATCCATCTCTATAACATATTTATATATATATACGTATAAGTTTTCAGTTATTAATACACTTAAAGGAAACATTACTTTATTCAGAAGTTAACGATAATTATTCCACCAGAATACATTAGTTAAACACACTGGGAATACTGTAATCAATGAACACACTGGTCACATGATGGTTGAATAACATTCACTTTAGTTAAACACACTAGGAAAGTTGCAATAAATGAACAGTCTGATTATATAATGGTTAAGTACTATTTAATCCAGTTTAACACCACAAGGAAAGTCATAATCACTGAGCAGTCTGATTATATGATGGTTGACTGAACTCATAACTAACACAAAAACAAGCAAAATAAGTAGTAGTACTGTTCTATCCTTTTTTAGTATTGACCATGAAGTTCCAAAGTACTTCTCCTGAGAGTTTCTACTTCTAATCTTTTCAGATCTATTTCTTATGTCTATTTTACTGTTAGTAGCTGAAGTAGAAACCTGCCGAACATAGAGCAATGAATCAACACTCTTGCCATTAGACTGTTTATGTGATACTGAATTACAACAGCATCGATAGCAAACAAACACATTTTGCACAATAAGCCAACAATTCCCACAGAGTTTATCATAATCCTAACTCCAAGAACACAGTGGGAGAGAACATACTGGTTTGTTAACAGTATACTGGTTACACGGAAAATTGACTAAAGTAATAAAAAGACAAGAAAATGTATATTACATGGCTCTAAACAAAGTCCAGGCTGATCTAATAAACTTGGTTGGTATTTGAATGTTAGTTATCCTCACATTGTGGTCAGAAATTAGTGGTATAGGTATACAAAGTGTGTAAGTGCTTTTGAACGTGTATATATATATATATGTACACATATATTATTCATATTTACTCATGAATGCTTAATTTTTAGTTTTGTCTTAAAACATAGAGCAATAAATGAAAAATATATAGAAAAACAATGATTTCTAGTACTTACAATGTTATGAAATTGATTTGCACTCGTGCATCATAATTGCTAAGCCTCACTGTAAACCTCGTTTATTCTTTCATCTGGAGGGGGAAGACAAGTTAATTTTTGTAGATTTTAAGTGTATTTTAGAAAACTAAAACTTGTCAAACTTCTATAATGGTACACTTAAAACCACTGTAATATACCTGACTTTCTAACTATGTGTTGGTTAAAAAAATCTCATTTCTCTTCAGGGCAATGACTTAGTCAACAGACTTCAACATTTCTAGTAAAACTCTAGATTTCCCCTTCAAGCCAATTGCAGACAAGTGTTAGATTTACTTAGTTTGGAATGTGCTCTTTCTATTGGTTATAAGCATGCACTTAAGAGAAGTAGGCATAAGTAGACAAGAGGTTTCAAAAGAATAGAGTAGTTGGAGGGGCTACTCTAGTAGGTTTGCTAAATATATTGATATCTCAGCAAATAAAAAACGTGGAAGGCTCTTATTCTATATTCTAGCTTGTCAATGTCTGAAATTTGAGTTTCTAATTTGTTAACCACTATAGACATTGTATGGTATGTGCAATACAATATAAACTGACCAGTAAGACAAGACATGCCATGTGACACACAAAAATGGATATTTTGCATTTTTTTATTATTTTCATTTAAATTAAAACATACATAATACTAAAATTTGAATTAGAAACTATATTTTGATGCCAATTTTGTTCACATATGTTGATAATAAAGTTGTTTAATCATGTTTTGAAAATAATCCTCAAAATATAGTGACATGCTCTCTGACCTGTCCATAGAGAGAGAGAGAGAGAGTTAAAGCATGGTTTCATCTTAGACTCAGCTGAATGTTATCTAATTTCATACTGAAGAATTATTTACACTGTTCTGCTTATCTCTCTCTCTGACCTTTACATGTTATATCATAAAAGCTAACTTGTATTAGAATAAAGAACTATATCAATGAACTTTTGATATTTACTTAAATCATACTACTTGCAACAAACACAGATCTACTACAAAAGTTTGTTAAAAAATTGTCACACTTGCCACTCCCTCCTTTCTTTCTATGATTTCACTACACATCTTGGCCAGCTAAAACTAAACATGAAACTGAAGTTCTACCCACTTTGATACTTTCAGTTTTTGACATTCTTATGTTCTTAATGATGTTCTTTTTCCTTTGCTGTTCTTTCTACACTATACAACGAGTGGATTTCATTGAAAGACCAGATGTTGGAAGTGAGAGTAACAGCTCCTGGAGATACATGTCTTAAAATGTGCTAAAAAATCAAGTTTTCACACCAAGATGACTTGTCAACAGTGGTAAGAAACACAAGGTCCAACTTTAATGCACATATTTATTAGATATTTACCTGTTTTTAATATATATGCACTCATATAACCCTCTTCCAGATTATAATAATGACAACAATGTGTTTTATCACTTTATAATGAAAATTAGACCTTAACCTATACAACTAACAGAAATATTATTCTCAACTTAATAATTTCACTATTTTTTACTGACTATTCTGAACACTCATTAGTCCAGATATCAACAATCCAGATTGTTTTTCATGTAGAAAAATTTTCACAATGGGAAATTTAATAAATAATCCAAACAGCTATTGATTATAATAAACATGCCTTTCCTATGGATACATGATTTAGTAATCCATACAAGACTCTAATACAGTTAAGTATGGATTCATCAAAACAAGAAATAAGGTGAATATTATTGGCCACAAAAAACCTGCAATAATAGTAGATACTGGTATATGGCAATGTTTATGAGAACAACCTTCACAGTAAGCATATACATATCAACTAAAACAAATGACATTTATTGAAAAAATATACATCATTAAATACAATAGGTATCAATAGGTAATTAATAATTTGTGCTACAGTCATGTCAAATCACAATACTTCAAAACTAAGATGTATAGGCATCATTAAAATATCAGGTTTATTTATGCAAAATAGCAATACATGTACAATATATTTTATATGTCACTGGTTTGAACAAAATCATTAGTTATATGACAATAATGACATAATATGCCACTTTGATTATGCATTTTGTACAATAATTGACATCATATAAGCTAATGAATTGCTCTGTTTATTGTACACACAGTTGCCTTTTTGTTCACCAATTCAACACCCACCGTTACTAGTTTGCATCTTTACATTTATTGATCAATAACACATGCTATTAATAGTGTCCATTGTATTCAAAATGACCAATTTGACTCTTCAGATGCCTTCAGTACAAATGTATTCAGATTAATGAAATTCAACTGTTATTGACATTCACCAATCAACAATTCTAATGACACTGTGCAGAATACACTGCATGCCCACTTATGAGAACTAGCATATACATAAGGCATTCATTATTTTAATACTTATTACATCATTTCTTACTATACTGACATACTAAATATATATTATATATTATTTTCTCTGCTAAATTTACTAAATTTTTCAAAGATTTAGAAAACATTCTGTTTTATCTGGAGAACAACGTTCATAAACTGCTGGTTAACTTTAAGAACCAGCTGGTAAAAAGGAAATTTGTCCAATTTCCTTCAGTGAAAAACTGCTTAAATACTTTTTAAAATGGGTATAACAATTATATACATTAGGCTTACAAATAACAGTTTTATATAAACACAAGCAAATGTGGTAAAGATTGTAAATGTAGTTATTAGGGGTGTGTATCTCATCATAGTAGTCAATATGTATCTAGATATTTATGCTGTGATATATGTATCTAGATAGACATTTTACCAACAGTTTTTTACAAAGTTTGACAGTCTTGTCTGTAATTTATTATCTATATTACTAATATTGTCTTATTTAAGTACTTCACACCTTACAGTGGTTTTTCAAATTCTCGGGTTTGATCAACTAAATGGCAGTTGACAAGAGAAGTAAAATAAAAAAAAGTTAATATCTGACTGTCTATTTTGTTATTGTTAATTTGTTATGTTACTTTGCATGTAAGGTTTTTGATAAAAGAAATGAAGACATCATGTAGTACTCAATACTCATCTTCCTTTACTGAATCATTAATTTTTGGCAAAAATTCTTTATTAGAAATTCTGTTTTTTTCTGTACAAAAGACTTTTAATGTTTACTGAAAGCTTGCCAAATTTTGTTAAGATACATAAATCATATAATATCGGACAATGTATCGATACAATCATATCACTGCCTCATGATACAATACTCGTATCGTATCGCTGTATAGCCACACCTTTAGTAGTTAAACATGTAATATGACCTAATCCTATGAATATAGTATATTATACTGAAGCACAGTAGTTTGCAAAATAAAGTTTCATGATATAGGTTAATTTAACCACTTGAAATATTGTGTTCAGTCTTGTTATTATTTAAGAAAGGATACTGACTTACTAGAAAGGATTTCTGGAAGGGCTACTGGGATGATTCCAGGGATGAAAGGATTATTTTACAGGGAACAGTTATGACTTCAGATTAAATATTTTCTACTGAGAAAAGAAGGGTAAAAGAGTTGATTCTATTGCCTGTGGAATTTTAGTAGTACAAACATAAAAACTGTATCTACTTTTAAAAATAGGAATTTTTTTAAGGATGAAAAGATATAAATACTACTTAATTGCTTATATAACAACAGTTATGCTGTTTATGAAAACACAATGTTTCAACAAGTCTTTCCAAACATATGATACCAATGGGCTACATATCACTGTAGCAGCTATAGCATTGCTACAGGCCCCTTTGGCACATCACACAGTTGATACACACATATTCATATGTGCTTTAATGAGTAAAGTATGTGCATATTGGTTAAACTACAGCCACAATTTTAAATTAACTTATTGGACAAAAGTGAAATGTCACTTAAGACCACCAAACAGGGCCAAAATTATTTTTTTGTTACAGGATCCATGACATGCTATGTATACCACTGTATGTATTCACTTCACACTATTATGCATGCTTAAACTTTCTTGTACTGTTTAACTTGAATATGTATAGTTCCATATAAATAATCTAAAGTTTGAAAGTTAACATTCCATGTAATGTACATTTCACCACCATCTGAAGCCTCATCTTGTTCTTTCAATTTACCCTTGTCTAAGATTACCAATTAGAAGCATAAATCCATGAAACCAGTATTACTCAGACACAACTGGTGAATCAAATGACAGATTAGGCTTCATATTTATTTTTTAGTATACCATGAACATGGTACTTCACTGATGCTTTATTTATTACCATTTGATGGGGTATAATGTTGATCAAAATAATCTAAACTTAGATTTTAAAGTTATTATTAACTATTTTACACCTATTTAACTTAAATTTTAAGATCGTTTGAAAAATAAAAAGCTTCATACACAAATGATTTCATTAAACTTTTAGCAATTTAAGTTTAAAGTGTTTTGACCAGCATTTAACATTAAAATTTACAAACTGAAAATTAAATCCTTACATTAAGTTAAAACTGTGTTTGAATTTGCAAATTATGATCAGTAATTTACTAAGTGCCAACCATTCAAGCCATAGTCTTTACACTTCACAGCACCAATACAACTGTTGATACATTTACTATAATTTAAAAGTTATAACACGTTTTAACAGTTGTAGCTTGAAGTAATTTATTCTCGGAACATAACTAAATAATAATAATTTGAAGCAAAATTTTGTTTCATCCATCTTTTTGTTGTTGTTTTTATTTTATAAATAGATTTGCCAATGAACGTAGGGCTTTTTAACAAATATTGCGAAGTCCTATCGGCATGTGGTTTAGCAATGGCATACGTGTACGATGCAATACATAGCAGTATTCTAACAGTGGTAAAACTGACATAATATTTAAATTCTGAGTAATTAATCATTTAAATTAGTCAATTAAATCTCTCTCTCTCTCTCCCATTCATTTCTTAAATCAAAATGCTGCATTTTTGAATTACATTTAGTTCCCACTTACCGTCTGCCATCACAACTCACAATCGGTATATATAAATTTACCACTAAAGCATAAAACTGATGCAATCACATAATATTATTTAATCTGTGCTTCACGCAGATGCTAAGATGATGCATTTTCTGTTAATAACTAAACAAATATCTTATATTAAACGTAATTGACATATTTATTAAATTACTAATCTTTATATTAATTTAGTTTAGTTCTTTTTTACTCGCAAAAACTGTTATAAAACAAATTAACTGCAGATGATTTTTTCTTTCCAGATTTCTCTTAATTTGTTCACTGGACTCGAAATCAAAGGTGAATTGACCCGCAATGGGCAGGTTTAAAGGAATTAGAAAAACACATCTACAGTTAACTTGTTTTGAACACTGGTTAGACCTACTGTTTTTTCAATACTTCACCGACTTTCGGTGTTTAAACAGTACTTTTTATTTTGTATCTTAGTAAACAACAATTACAATAAAATGAAAAATATAATTGTAACATGTCTACAAATCAAAACAGTTACAGAAATAGGACTTATTTGCTAAAATATTTTGAGTACGGTTTTAAATGTTCGTTTTCGTGCTGTAAGAACGAATGTGCAGTTACAAAGATGCTGAGAGAACTTTGAACAATATTTCAACTATGTAACAGTGTTAGAAAATTAAACAAATTGTCTTATAGAAGTTTCAAGATTATATTTATTAGACTGATGGCCTGGTTTACAGAAACGTAAATGTTAAAGATGCGAATAAATAAAATAGTTTACTTTGTAATTTTTGTACCATTTTCAAGATCAGTGATTTATAGTTTGTGTACACGAAGCAGGCTGCTCTTTTGTGGAACCAAAATTTCTAAGCACAACCTAAGTAGGATTGACCAGTTGGCTCGTTGTATGAGTTACAACAAGAAGAAAAAGAGGTAAGCGGGAAATAATAACAATATTATTATTATATCAACTACCACTAATAAACAAATAATTTGTTAATTAATGGTCCCGAAAATGCTGAATTAAAACTCATATAATTGAACAAATTGATATGTCCCCCAGTGGGACAGCGGTAAGTCTTCGGATTTACGATGCTAAAAAATCAGAGGTTCGATTCCCCTCAATGGACACAGCAGATAACCTGATGTGGCTTTGTTATGAGAAAAAACACACACAAATTAACTTGTGTGGTTATGCTAGTGTTTCCAGAAGGATCATGACTTATCGAGGAACCCCCGCGAATGTCCAAGTGTTTGCCAGGCGCCCTCTTTTTTTAGTATATAAGCCCGGCAAATAAAG